ACCACCCTGCACTCACCAAGCAAGCCTTCTGGGGTGCACATACTAAAAAAAAAAAAAAGTATTCTAAAAAAAATCATATATAATCATACACATGCTTACACACATACAAGTGAAACAGAGTCAAAGAAAGACTCCTTACCTGAGATATTCATCTCAACATTACAAAATTCAAACGTTGTGAGCAAGGACTCTACTAGAGCTTAGTTTCTACATGTTTGTGTTTCACACAGCCTAACCTACTCTTTCTCCMAGTACGTCAAGCCCTCGTGTCCCCTATACAGACAAATGACTAATTCAATTACCCTGTGTGCTGACAGGCCAGCTGGTTTCTGCTTCTTGGCATAGGTAGAGAGGGTGAGTTATAAATGTCTTTCCCACATTGTCTTCATCCTCTGCCCAGCCAATAATTTCCACAAAACTTAACTTCACACCCCTTTGTCAACTTAGGCTGAAATGAGCTAACAGGTCCAGAAGCTGCAGAGTGACACACAGACTCTATGGGTGTATGTACCTTGTTTTCACTGCAGAACAGACTGGGGCGAGCAGGGCAAGCAAACYTGCAAGGTAGGTTTACAGGCCGCAYGTATGAAATTTGCCTCAGCTCCAAAAGTATTGACACAGCTTAACCCAATCTAAATTGGAGCTGCCACAGTCCCACCACACCCACAGGAGTTCAGTGTTATCCATTCCCTTGCAGCAGCACCGGTGCCAAAAATCAACCTGGGAAAAAAATGGCAGTTAGCGTTTGGCAGAGGCAGCCCCGGAGGCAGTCCCTGCTCTGTCACATGGACACTGCCAGCACACAGCAGCAGCACCCAGCACCCAGCACCGGGCACATGCAGCTGCCACCGCTGCACGCTGGSCACTCACAGCACTCAGGAAACCATCCTGAGACCCTGCATTCTGGACATGCAGCTCACAACCTCACCAGTACCACAGCCAGTCATCTGCTGCTTTACAGAGCCACATAGGCACTAGAGGACTTACTACTTCAGGAAAAACAGAAACAAAAATATGCTGGGAGGTTGACAATTTCAGCTGCATTCTGAACAAAATATCTTTGTTTTTTGAAATGCCTAACCTTGTGTTCTTCCTAAAACAAGCCAAACCTATACAATCAAGGAAGAAAAAAACAGCATTATAGGCAAACAYAGGAATATTTAAGCACAGACATTACCCAGTCCAGATTTCCTTTTGGGTAACCTTTGTCCTAGAGAAAATAAAAGGGCACATCTATTCTATATCCTTCATGCAGAATTGCCAAACCACTGAATAAACCACTGGCCACCCCACTGGTGACTGGAGAGAGATCAGGAGGGAGAAGGTAAAACAGAAGTAGCAGAGTGTAGCCAGGGTGGCTAATTTAGATGGAGGGAGGTGTGAACAGCAGAGCATAAGGCAAAACATCTTGGGAAGTATATCCTGATGACATCTTATCTTGGCTGTACAACACAGTGAGTCTGGGGGAGAAAACAGTTTTATCTGCAATCATTTATGCTCTCCATTCCTCACTAATCACAACACAGGTACACAGGTATTATATAKCAATGTATAATATAGACAGCATGGTTATATATTCACTAGGGATGTTCCTACTACAAACATAAAATGAGAATCACTTCAGCATGAAGCACAGCTTTGTATGATTTTTAAATTATTACAAGGAAGCTTTGACGTATAATTTTATAAAAGCATTTTTCCCAGTGATCTATTTATTAACAATAGGCACCATAACTTGATTTTTATCCAGTGGTGAACATGTAACAGCTGTTACTCAGTTGTAAAACACTGTCTACTTACACAGCATTAAATAATAAATAAAGCTCAAGACCTAGTACACGTTTTACTAAGCAATCTAATGATAAGAAACAAGAAGTTCCAAAGATTAACCGTGAGCTGCATTATCAAACCTGTCCCATGATATCTGTGTTTATAAGCACTGTGCTGTAATATGAAAGAGGAAAGAAATTAACAATAACAAAAAATAATTTTTGTTCAGTCACAGCTGCACTCACCCTATCCAATAAGAGTTTTTTTAAACAAATTTAAATCTGAGTTCAATAGAAACCCTTTCCTAATAACTTACACTGATTCTTTTGTACAGCCTTTTTTAGGATGACCTACATTGCTTGGGAATAAAGGTGAAAAAAGTCAACACTGATTTGCACAGTACAGTCTAACCCCAGTGTATCGGCTTTTAATTTAGCAGCATTATTCATCAGCCTTTACTGCAATAGCCCTGCCCAAAGCAATCAAAGTCACAGGTAAAACTGAAATTACCTTTTACATGTAGTGGATCAGACCTTATCAGTTCTGAGATAGGAATAGAAACTGCACTAGAGACACCCAAATATACATAGAACAGTAATGACAAGAAAACCTTAATGCTGTTGATACATTTTTGGGCAARTGAGACCTAGCACAACTGACCTTCAAAAATGCAAGCAAAAAGATAGCATATGGATCCATATGGAATGGCAATTTCCACAAATTGTGGAACTTGATTTTGTTATGATTTCATCACTACTAAGTGGTCAACAGCACAGAACAATATAGCATAAAAAAATTGGTGGATCTAGAGTTCCAGAAATGTCAGAATAATACAAATACAGTGCAGCCTCCCATTTGAATAGAGAAAGTTTCTGCCTGTATCTTTAGCAAATTAGTAACAAATACACAGTGGCAGTCCAATGTAARATTGAGTAATCACTGCATTTAATCCATAAGCACATCATTCTGGATGCCTTTTAGAAGTTGTATTTTCTTCTGTTTAAAAGGCAAAGTAAACCATGGGGTTGAAAAAAAGTCTGTATTCCGCATATGGAACATGGATGATGAAAATCCTCAGTGCTTGTCTTTGAGAGGAAGAAGTTCTTTTTTTGTGTTGTTGTTTTGCCTTTTTTATGTGTTGTTGTTCTTCTTTTAAATGTCAGTATATCAAAGAAGTAATTTTAATTATAYAATTACTGAAGATTTTGGAAGGTTTACACAAGACCCATAATTGGGCATAAGACATCACATCCTCTGGTTATATACACAGCAATCTGGTCTGGGTAACATTCTTTGCTCTGACCAATGTGTGAGAGGGGGGGCGGGGGAAGGAAGGGGAGGGAGGGGAGGGGGAGGAATGGAGAATTAAAAATACTTCCTCAGATTAAATTTTCTTTATTACATTTACTTAAAATGTTTTGATTGCATAAACTGCACTAAAATATTTATCGCGACGTACCTCCGTAGTTTAAATATCTTGTTCTCAATATGATATCCTAGATAKTCAAACAAAAGACATCCAGCTGACAATGCAGCCTTTTTTTATTTTAATTTTAAAAAGGCATTTGTACACCTAAGACCGCACTACGGATCAGTCTCCTTTATCACGCCGGAGTTGTGACAGGTAATGCATAAAAAATTAAAATCCAATCCACCAGATAAGACATGCAAAATGTCTCCTCCAATCCCACCCCCATCTCGCCTTCAAAAAAAAAGCAAGCCCAGGCACCAGCAGCCCTGCACATTGGGAGCACAGGCACAGTGGCACCCCCAGAGCCACCGCTGGGGCGACAGCCACAGGGCCGAGGGGCCGCAGCCCCATCGCTCCGGGCTCCATCGGGGGCGAATCCCACCTCGCCGCTTCCTCATGCCCTCACACAATGGTGYTTTCCCCCATTAGCTCGCAATTGTCAACATTTTCAGGCTAGGCCSGGCCGGGCAGGGCTGAGGCGCGGGCGGCCCGAGCCCCCGATCCTCTCCTCTCCTCTCGGCTCCGGGGCGGCGGGGGCGGCGGGGCCGGGGGGGATCAATGGCCGCTGGGCCGCGGCCCCCCCGCCCCGCCGCCAATGGAGCCCCAACTGCGCAGCAGGCGCGGCGCGGCGGGCCCGGCCCCGCGGAGCCTCGGCCACAGCCGGGGCCGCCGCCCCCGGACACCATTTCGGAGAAGGTGCCGCAAATCGCCCGGCGCCGCCGCCTCCCCCCGCCCCGCAGCCCCCCGGGCGCTCTCCCCCCGCGCCCCTCGGGGGCCCGGGCCGCCGCTCCCCGCGGGGAGGCTCCGGTGCTCGGCCGCTGGCGGTCCCCGGGGACGGGGCGGGGGCTCGGGGGGGTGTCCTGTCCCGAGGGCCCGCGGGCGATCGGCTCCCCCCCTCCCCGGCCGGGGAAGGGGCCGAGCCCCCGCCTCCCCCCGAGCCGGGGCAGAGCCCGAGCCAAACAAAGCGCGGCCTGAGCGGGAGCCAAGGGTGAAGCAGCCTGGGCTTTTCCTGCCGGTCTCCGCGCAGGGCGGGCCCCGAGCCCGGCTTACCCCGATCCCCGGCGGCGGCGGCGGCGTTGTTCCTCTCCTGCTGCTGCTGCTGCACCGGGCGCGGCCTGGACACTCGCCTGGGTCTCCTGTTGGCGGCTCGGACCGAGTTCATTTGCCGGCTCGTGTGGGCGGCGGGAGGGGAGGGGGGGAATCCTCCGGCAACCGGTGCCTCGGCGGGGACGGGGGCGCTCGGAGGGAGCCCCGGAGCGGCCGCCTCGCAGGCGCGGGCAGCAGGGAAGGGCGGGGGGGGAAATCTCCGAGCGCGGGTCCCGCCGCCGCTGCCGGCTCGCTCGAAGGCAGAGGAGCCGCCGGCTCTCGCAGCGCTGCTGTGGGGGACGATGGCGCCGCGCCCCCCCGTGCCGGCCCCCGGCGATCCCGCGATCCTGCCCGGCTCAGGCCCGTCGCTGCTCCGTGGCAGGAGGAGCCATTGACACCGCCAGGGACGCGCTCGCGAGCGGCCGGCCGTTGGACGGCGGGGCTCCGCCAATCGCCGCGCCGCACACAAACGGCCGGCGGCGGCTTGGCCAATGAGCGCCGCCGTACTATCGGCGGGCGGGCGGGGTGGGGCGGCGGGGCGGGTATAAAAGGCCGGGGCCGCGCGTGTGGGGCGGCAATGGCGGCGCTCGGGCCCGGTTGTGGCTGTGGCGCTGTGAGGAACCGGCGGGGGAGCCGGGCCTGGGGAGCCGGGCCTGGGGCYGCCCGGGAGCCGCCGGCAGCTGAGGGGCCGCGGAGGGGCCCGCCAGGCTCCCTGAGGCCGTGGATGATGAGGAACGGAGGGGGGGCGGGCGTCTGGCGGAGGTGCCTTGTTGTGGTGCCGTGCGCCTTGGTAACCCTGCCTAGGCTGGGATTAGCCGTGCTGCGGCTGTCGGCTCGCTTCGCTTTCCTGGCTGGCTGTTAACCATTTTTTCTTGCTGGAATTGTCGTGTTCCTTGCCCGGTGTGCACAGTCGTGTTTGTGCTGCCTTTTGCTAATGCAACGATATCCTCTTCATCTTGGTCTAGCGCTTTAGACAGTGTGTGAGGCTTCTGTTCTGTTAGTATTTGTTGTGTTGGTGCTTTGCCGGTGGCCTCAGCAGGGAGAAAAAGTAMATGAAGTTAACTGGGGTCTTTTTCGTTTTCAGAAATCCCTTAATAAAATGGATGGCACAGCACAAGCAGTAAGGAAGAGATCTTTGTAGGGTTGCCCAGGAGTCTGCTTCTAATGCTGYGAAGGTGGGTTTGTGTCTAGTCCTATTTAAACTAAGCACTGGGCGCTTCTGGAACCAGGGCCCTTGTCTGTGCCTGCAAAGCAAAAGAGTGTTATCTGGTATAAAATGTAAATAAATGATGGTAATTAAAAACACATTAGGTAGCAGCTTGTTTAAAGCTGACAAATGAAGGTATAACATAGCTATTGGAAATGACATMTTTTACAAAGGAAAAGCTTTAAAAACATTTATACTTGTGATTTTAAAGGAAATGGCAGGGAAATGGTAAGTCTTCAGTTCATGTGAGACCAAAAATAAATGTTTGAGAAATTTCAGTTGTTAAGGAGCTTTTTTGACKTTTGAGACTTGTTACTTTGAGGCGTGACCATGGAGGATGTTTTTCCATATCTGAGGAAAGCAATTCTTGTTAATTTCATTATTTCTTCCCCTAATATTACAGCAGTTAAGCTCCTGTGAGAAGAACTTCATAGGGAAAAATGTAAACRTCAGTCTGTTTGGGGCCAGTTTCTGTAAGSACAATTACCAGGCTACTGTACTGAACATTCTGTAGAGYTACATAATTACATGTAAATATCATAAAAGTATTTTTATTTTTGATAATAATATTGTGAAACWCTGCTTTAACTATTGAATGGGAAGAATAACCTTCCCCAACTATTGTGCTGAACTTGCTGTCACAGTTAAGGATTTTTCCCATCCTTAAAGACTTACAATCTTTAAACGAGAGTATTTTGATAGTTTGAATCCATTTCTCTTCAGCTGTTCTAATTGTACTCTCTTCATCAAGYACATGAGTTCTTGGTGTCACAAGATTACCTGAAATTGCTCAATATAGATAAAATCCAAATTTTTAGTGCTGTCTAAAGCCTGTTCAAGGGTGGATGACAAGCTAATTTTCACACAGAAAAAAATCTAGAATCTGAAGCTTTTGATACTAGAATAAAATTTCACTTAATTGAAGCAGACTGTAAACTTCCTTAAAAAGTCTTGACCTTTGAAACTCACTGATCTCTTGGCGTAGAAAACACTGTACTAGCTCCTTGAGGTCCAAGATGTAGTCTTACTGCCAAAATGCATGGAGGGCAATCTATAGAAGGGTTTGCAGAAGTTTGTGATAAATTCTCTGAGTTGATACAGTGCTTGCTGAATAAGACAAGCTTAATCAAGTTATTAAATAAAGTACTGGTGCAAAAAAATTGATTACTGTAAGTATTCAATATKTGCTTATAAAGCATGGAGTAAAGAAATAGTTGCAATGGTCTTGTCTGTCTGTGCTTTAGAAGGCCAGACAGCAAAAAGCCTGAAAACTCATCAGAACATTATTGACTAGAACTCTGAATCTCTTCCCATAGCAGTTAAAGGTATCCTAACTGGGACTCAGAGCAGTTAAAGGTATCCAATCTTGGACTTGATCATAATTTCAGGTTTGCTTGTCAGTCTCTAAAATGTTATCCTTAGCAATCCTGTGCTGCTGTAAAGCCTCTGAGAAGGAAAACACCATTCTGTGATGGAAGTGGCACTGAAAGCCCAAATTAATAATGTGGGCTTCATTATATTGACCACTGCTGGAGGTGCTTTAAGCCATTCTGTATGATGTGCTAATAAGCCATTCCTGAATGTGGGTGTGATTTATACTGGCAAGATAATTTTGCCTTTGTCAGGACAGYTTTTTCTTTATTTAGATTGGGAAGAGAGCGAATGGGAAGTGGAACTGAACTGTACAGGGATCTTTTTGCATAATTGTCAACAATAGAAAGGCTTGCTGGGCTGGTTATGTTGGYCACAAATCACCTTTTGGTGACCCTTGAGCAGCTTCACATTATGAACAGAAAGGTGTAAGACTGGGTGAAGAGCTTGCTTGGAGCATTTATATCATAAGCAATTTGGACAGAGTTGTCAAGTGCTAGCTCATCATATTCAGACTATCTTCTAAGCTGCACTGAACTTCAAATGTGTGTGTATTTAAATGTTAATGATAACTGGTTCTCTGTTTCTACTTGAAGAGTTGGCTGCTGCTTTGAAGAGATCACCTTCCTTGCTGCATGGAGGAAGAGGTGCTATGGAGTGTTAGTGATAACAGTAACTTGTTAATTATGTGTTAGCAGRGAATGGTTAGAGATGGGCACCTTGATGGAGAGAGGTGTTGTCATGAAGGGGATTCCTGTTTGGGAGGGTGATGTGCAGAGACAGCAGAGCAGCTTTGGGTCAGCTCACCTGCTCTAGCGTGAAGGCAGTTAAAACAACTCGAAGATCAGGATGATAAACACACTGCAGGGTTTCTTTTCTAGAATCTCAGAGTATTGCCAAGGGATTAGAAGTGGTGGGGTCACAGAATAAACAGGATTGGGAAATGAGTATGGGATGGTGTGAACTGTTAAGTCAGCTAGGCTGTTTGAGACCAGGGTGATCTGCAGGAATCACCACTATTTTATTCCCTTTAATGTACAATGCCTGCTAGCAACCTGAAAGGTCTTGCTTCAGAGCCTGGTAGAAGTTCTTTCAGTGTGGGACACGTTTATGTAAGCTGTCATGATCCATACTTACCTTGGGGATGTGGGTATTGCTTTAACACAACAAGTCCACGATGACAGATTTCAATGAATCTATAATCTGTGATTTACTTCTAAGGGGTTCACAAAACAAGTAAGGATAGACCTGTATATCATGGCCTAAAGCTCTACTTGAAAATTACTCAGAAATGGAATAATTTTGAAAATTGAAAAAAGAAAATCACCAAAAAAACTCACCAACTGAATTGCCGGCTTTTAATTAAGTGGCAAATGCACTRTGTTCTCCTTAGCTTTTGCTTTCTAATATTTGGGAGAGAGCAAGAAGTATTTTGAGAGCACGGTTATAGTTTGTTACACAAAGCCCACCACAGAGCCTTTAGCTACAGCTCATCATGGATTTGAACAAGAAATATAAGGAGTATTTTTTAATTGTGCTTTTTAATCGATCCAAGTGGCTTTGCAAAGGAACCACGTCTCTCCCTCTCTGTACAGATCAAAGTGAAGCAGAAAGGGCTGAAATGCCTTGTCCAAGAGCATTTCCAGGCTRTTAACAGGGCTATGAACAGAACCCAGGGTACAGGAGTCCTTACCTAAGGTTTTCTCCRCAGTGTCATGTTATTGTTTTCAGAARCATAAGAATTTTGCCTATTATTTCTAACCATTTCATATGCTGTTAATATGTCTCTTGGCTAAAAATACTGCATTGAAGATTTGGGACTGACCCACTGTGGATTTTTGAGTTGTAGCTCTTTAACTTAGAGGTTGTTTCTTCTAAGATTGGAAGAAAGATGTGAGCCTTTCAGGAAAAGCTAATGTTACCTAGAACTGGTTGAACATGCTTGCTCTGCAGCTCAAAAATTTCAATGCCATTTTGTTGCACTGTCTCTGACCCTCAGTTCCTCTTAATTGTGTTTTACATCTCATCTCATGCAGCTAGAATTTTCCCACTCTTGCAGAAAAAGACTCCTAAATCTTTCCTCCTTTTACCTGGAATCCATGTCTCCTGAAATCCAGCTTGATGTTAGCTGACCTTCCTGGGTTGCCTTCTGGGTGAATGTCTGTGGCTGGGATGTTTGCTGTTGCTATACCAACCTGGTTTCTGCACTAAAAATAAAGACCTCAGGGTGGGGAATGTGTSTTGTTTCCTATAAGCTCACATGACTGTTGCAACATGTTTATCTAACATGTTAATTCTGATTCTGCCCTAACAAAAGCTCTCTGGAAGCATGAGTGGTACTTCAGTACCCATTAATTTTCTTTAATAAAAGCAACTCCTGAAAAAAAAAGTCCTGGAGGGATTGTGTTTGAGTTTTAAAGCATTGTTAGCTGTCTTGGTAGATATTTCATAGCCAGATAAATATCTACACATCAGCTGCCTTCTGGAGTTTTTGGGAGTATGTTCAAGGGGAGGGAGAAGGACTGTGGAGCTGTCTCAATCTGTATTTTCAGGCCMTTTTTCTGGGTAGTACCCACTGCCCTCCACTGAAATCTCAGTGTCCAAGCTCAGTCCTCTGAATTGTATTGAATTTAGGTGTTTCAGTSTGGACTGATGCAAAGCTTCATTGTTAATTAAAATGCAATGGGTATAAATCACACAGTTTTATGAGTGACCTGTCAAAACAGCACAAGTGTCTTGAATGATCTGCCTAGACACAATATAATACTGAGATACTATTTTGACTTGGTGGTTCTCATTCATTCAAGGCTTGCTTCTCTCTGCTCCTTTTCAGACATGCATGGACAGAGATAAAGTACGAGCTTCACTCAATTTTTATTCTTTAGAGTCTACTTTTGTGTTGCACACTGCAWCAGCAGTATGTCCATATGCTGAGTTCTGTCTTTAGAGCTGGGGTTTTCTGCCCCCCAAATATGGTTGGTGTGGCTGTTGTTTATATTGCCTTGCAGAGAATGCAGCCTGAAGAGACCTTTCAGCAGAATGAATTTGAGTCACATCCCAAATGAGGAATGTTTACAAGAAGTATATTCAATAGTCACAACTGGAAAAATCAATCATTTAATACCAGGAGACTGGAGCTGTGTGAGGCCCTGGCTCCAGATTTAGACCTATCAAAGGAAAATAATGGCTTCTTTATGAAAATGCTGGTTTAGAGGATGGTTCTTCCTTAAAAATATCTCTGTGGGATTTTGAGCTCTTCAATTTTACAAAGTATTTATGTTCCCTGAAGCATGTCCATCACAGGCCTAGAGTGGCAGGAGCAGTTAGGAACACTTTGCTTCATCTTTGTTATGAGCAACCTTCATTTTCAATGTTCCAAACAGTTGTAGAGCAGCCAGAGGTGGGGTGCTTAGAGGGATTTGCTGTCTCCATACAGAGAGGGGTCGGTCAGTGGTGAACAGTGATGCTTCTTTCAGTCCTGGAGGCAGGAACATGACAGTGGTCTCACCATCACCATTCATCATCAGTGAATACAGTGGCCTTCAAATCTGGAGAGCAGGTGTGTGTGGCTTTTATTGGTGCTGACAGTTTGAACCC